ACCAGCAGAGACAAAGAAAAGAAGAGGATGTCTCTTTCCACAAAACCCATTTCAGAGTGACAGAAGAAGCATCTGCTCTATGATAATATTGGGGGACCTGATCACATCTCTCAGCATTGGACAGATCATCTAGGCAACAAGTTAACAGAGTAACCATTATTCTTTCAGAAGGAGAGAAGAAATCTAGGGCAATTAGAGGGGAGAGGGGGAGGAATGCGGGGAAAGGGAGAAGTTGGACAAGGGGCATAAAGAATAATTACGATTTGTAACAATATATATGCTAGTAATATTGATTTAAAAAAATAAAAGTTAAATCATTTTAAATGAGAGGTTTCATCTGACTCAAAAAGTTTGAAAAACGAATATGGAAATGACAGATCATAGGAATGAAACTTTTGATAAAGGCAAATTAAAGCAATATAATTATGCAAAAAATAAAACCAAAAACAGACATTTTAAAAACATCTGGCCACATGCATTAGTGCAGTGGGTATCCCTAGAAAAGAATACTAACTGGCTCGTGGAATTAAATTCCTGATCTTTGCCTTACCAACTTTAAACAGTCTTCCACTACTGTGGATTTTAACTCTGAAATATCTCAAATCTATATTCTTCTGCCGGTGTCCCAGTTAAAGCTCTTTCTTCTAGGCTATTACAGAAAGCTGTCACCATGACTTCATCTCCACATAGCCTCCCCACTGCCACTGGAATATCTACCATAAATCTGACGTTCTCACTACCTTGCTACATGCTTTCATTAGTTATCAATTGCCTAAATAGTAAAATTCCAATGTTTTCATGTGGCTATAATAGCTATCTTTTTTTGCTCCCTTTCCCCGAAATTCCTTCTCCCCCAAATGTGGAAACTGCCTATTTTATCTTTTTTGGTTGTTAGTCTTGGGTGGGTATCTGACTCTAGCCAGGCCAATTAACAGAACATCACAGAAATTTCAATTTAGGACTGACAATCAGTTCATTTCCCTTTGGATGCCTGCATCATCAAAGTTCAGAAGCAGTCAGTGTCCACGTTTTCTGCCAATTGAACCAGAAAAATGGAGAAGTCCAGTTATAAAAGAACAGAATGAAGTTGTGCATAGAGTTAGGACACTGAGTGGTCAATCCCAGCTCTTCTGTGAATCCAGACACATTCTTGTTCTTGTGTTAAGACAAGTCAGACTCCTTACAGTAAATTCCCCTGGCAGGCTGGTTCATACTGAATTTCTATATCTGTACCCAAGTCAGTCCTAATCCCACTGCATACAGCAACCTGGCAGTTTAAACACAACCTATCTTCCTAGCTTCATTTCCCAATATTCTGACCACACCACCATTCTGCCACATACCCCCACACATCTATTAGCCATTCTCTCCAAATTCAACTCCACTCTTGAACCTTGTGGTGCATTTACCTGAGATGCCGTTTCCCTCTTTGACATGGAGAATGCCACATACCTTCCTCACGATGCAGCATAAATGTCCCCTCCATTGTGAGGCTTTTTGATGCTCCCCGGAATCCAAGTCAAAAGACTGTTCCATTTTCTGTGCTCAAAGTCCTTTGTATGTTTCTTTGATTACATTTATGACATTCTATTGTAGAATTCCTATATGTTTCTATACTATTTTGTAAATTCATCAAGGAAAGAGTCTTACTCATCTATGTAACTCCACTGCCTAACACAACTGGAGAGCACATGGCAGGTACTTGATATACATTCGATAAATCAAGTTATTCCAACAGACCACGTGAATAAGCCTTTGCCACACAGGCTCTAGCAAATTTGCCCCCAAAAGATATGACTGACTTACTGTCTTAACATCTGATTAAGAAAGCAGTCTTTCATGAATAATGTGATTTTGTGTTTGAACACAAGAGTAATTTATGTGAAATAAACTGACCAGGGGAAGCAATATTAACTTCAGAGGCCCCAAAAGCCCCATCTACCCTCTCCTAAAGAGCCTAAGTCAGTAATTACAGTCTTACACCACAGACGGACTTCCTTTCCCTCTTTCTCATATTTTTTATAGTTATTCATTCTGCTAAATCCTTTTACATTGAAATAGATGTCAACCACTCTTGCAGTATTTGCCATCTGCACGGAAGTATACTTACTGGATTTCTAAACTGCACAAACACAAAAGCTACCCTATCAGCTAATTTTAAGACTTAGTTTTTTTGTTGGTGGTGGTGTTTTTCTGAAGTGTAAGGTAACCTCAGATGTATAGAGGAAAATAAATCTGGCTTGGGTTGGGCTTTTTAATTTTTATTTTTTAAATATATTATCTGGAAACTGGGAGGAGGGAGGAATTCTTTGTTCTGTTTTATACTCAACCCAGTAACCAAACAAAGGAAACGAAACACAATTTCTTCTCGCAAAGCTGGTTTATTGAGCCTCATGGGAGAAATGTAACAGTGACACTATTCCACAACACAATTATTGAACTTTAGTTTAATTTCATGAGAAAACAGGTATTAGCAATATACTTTCAATAAAGCATTGTTATTAATAACTATCTACATTAGATTCTAGGGTAGTTTCCTTTGGTGTTCTCAGGTTAAGACTTTTCCAAAACATATCTGATATTTTCAACTAAAGGTTATAATTAAAATAAATTCATACAGAAAATGTGTCATTTGTGCTTTAAAAAATTCATGAGTTGATAAATAGCTACCATTTCAAAAGTGATTTCTCAACGTTCAATGAAGTGTTTTATAAATATTTTGAAATATATCTAAACTGTTAAGTATGTTCTTTTTAAAAATAAAAACATACATACAAAAAATTAAAACAATAAATTGTTATGAGATACAAATATTTTAAAATTAATAAATATTAAAGTGAAAAAATAAATCCCTTCACAGAACTGTAAAGGATACTTACTACTAATTTCTTACAAGAAGAAATAAAATAAAATTCCTTTTTTAAAAAACCTTAACAGTACTGAAAAAACACAGATGTGCCTGGAAAGTCTATAAGCTTTCTTCCTCCACTTTAAAAAATGTTTTAAAAAGCAATAAACAGATTCCCTTCTTTAAAAAACTGTTACACCCATCATAATTACTCAGCTGTCATTGTTTTACTATAAAAATAGTTACAAATCAATGTTAATTTAGATAAGTAAACCGGTTTTTAATTTTTAATTGTAGCATGATTAAGAAAAATGGATTAATTTCCCTAAACATAAAGCAAATTTGAACTCTAATATTTAAAACTGAGTAATTATTTCCTGTAATTATTACTTTCAGTTGGTTTATTTAATAAAATTATCTTGTTTTTATAATTATCCAGTTAGGATCACCATAATGATTAAACAAAAATTCTAAACTAGATTAGATTACATATTTTAATTGGTTTTCCACATTCTGAAAATATTGTAAGTACAATTATCTTTTGGCTTAATTTCCTCTAAAACGATCAAGGACGGCAATCTGTCAGAATTAGTGAATGTACACACTTCAATTAAAGTTCATGGCTTATTTTCCATTTACGTAAATAGCTTCGTAGGCGAGATTGCTATTTTCTATGTGCAAAGTCTTAAATTAAAAATAAAAGTATTTAGGGTAAAACATTTTTCGAAATATTCTTTCCATCACTGAGAGATAGACAAGATATTTTTCAATATTGAATTTATTTTTCATACTGAGGAGGAATAGCTTGTTGTGACCATAAAATTAAAACATCTTAAAAACTGACACAACACAAAACCATTACAGAAATACATGAAGACTCACAGCAATTAGAATTATGCCCTTAGGGCCGGCCCGGTGGCGCACTGGATAGTGCGCTGCTTGGGAAGCGCGGTGGCGCTCCCGTCCGAGGGTTCGGATCCCACATACAGACCGGTTCCCACCCACTGGCCGAACAAGGCGCCG